TTGGCTAACATGTGCCATATAGCAGCATGTTTCAGCCAATTGTTTGTCTTAACAGAATGAATTTTATAATATTTTCATCGCATAATTAAAATCAATATTATATACAATTATGATCATAATTTATAAGTTATCATGCAAACTCTTATAATCATAGATTTTTTTCTTCTTGTTATTTTTTGTATATTATTATGTAAGTACAACAATCCCAAATTAAAACTCAGTTAGCCAACCATGACTCATAAATCATGATCATAATTGCATAATAACATTGATATTGGATCATGCGATGATAAATATCATAAAATTTGTTCTGTTGGGGCAAATGATTGGCTGAAACGTGCTGCTATATGGCACATGTCAGCCAATAATTTACTCTGACAAAACAAATTTTATGATATTAATCATTGCATGACCAATATCTTATACTTATTATTAACTAGCTAAATTTTAATTTATGATTGTTGTGCTTACATAATAACATACAAAAAATAACAAGAAAAAAAACCTATGATCATAAGAGTTTGCATGATAATCATGATTTACTTCTTAAATATTATAATAAATTATAAAATTACTAACCTTGAGCTAACATCAGACTAGTAAAGCTTAATTGATCAATAGAAACTTGTATCATATTTAATTCATTTTTGTATTCATTTAAAAATTCTTGTTTAGCAGATTGAATTTCATTGTTATATAAAGTCATAAAATTTTGCATAATAATACTATCTTGAATAGAAGTAATGGTGCCATGTTGATTAATTGTAATTGTATTATTTTGAGTTGTAGTAGTTTGATTATCTATATTAGTTATACTGCTTGTTTGAAGAGTTGTTGTTCCTTCATTATTGGTAACAATATGATTATGAAAAACTGTAGTTGGTTGAGTTTCATAATAATTAAAATCATTTTCTCTTGTACTAATATTAGTATTAATAGTATCAGAATTAGTATTAATATTAGTATTAATAATAGTAGTTAAAATTGAAGATGTTGGTGCTTCATTAGATAAAAAATTTGGCAATATTCCAGTTGATTTCCAACAATTTTTAATAGTTTTTTCAGTAACATTTTCCCATGCTTTTTCAGTAAGTTTAAAAGCATCTAATAATGTAAATTCTTTTATTTTATTTGTTGAATTATCAAGAGAATCATAGGCTTCAATTCTATTATCTACAAAAAGTTTGCGATAATGAGCTTTAAAACTATGAATTATATCAGCATCACATGGTTGAAGATGTGATGTAGTATTAGGTGGTAAAAAGTGAATTTGAATATTGGTAAGTATAGTGTCAGAATAAAGCTTATGTACAGAACAATTATCAATAAATAGAATAATATTACGATTTTGACTAGCCATTTTATGATTTAAATCTAATAACCAATTATTCCAAATTGATATTTGCATTCAAGCAGTTTTATTATATTTATATTGAACATTAATTTTATCTAAATCAATTTTGCTAACTCTTCTAAAAGATCTTGGATTTTTTGATTTACCAATAA